GGCTAAGCAAGACAGAAGGAAGGAGTCTTGAGGTGGTGCAGTGTCATCCCCTGTCGAACTCCACTCTTATCGTTATCGCATCGACCTTGCAGATGCATAGTCAGAGCTCTGCGGCGTTGGTCGATGTACCATGACAACCATTATCGTTGGAACTTTTCACCTGTTCCGCCCTCGCTCTATGAGGTGATCGCACGCTGCTTGAGTGCACTCCGAGCTGTCCACCTCAATCTCACTGCCATGATACAGGCGCCAAAATTTGCCAGTCAGCCGTTGCGCTGCTGGGCGCATCACGCATCATGGCCGACCATCATTCGGCACCAGGGACCCTCCATTCTTGCCTCACGAACCTGCACATGGCGGGCCTACTCCTCCGGTATGATGCCCTCCAGCCGGCGGCCTACAATCCGATCTGACATGATTTGAAGCCCAGCCCAAGACCATCGAGGTCAACGGCAAAACCTATCCGACCGATCAATGGTTCAACGCCCCGCCCAACGTCGTGGCCGCCGCGTCCCGCAAGCTGCACCTCCAAAAGGACCATCCCGTCTACATCACACGGCAGATCATTGAGTCTCAATTCCCAAACTCGACCTACAAATACCATAACACCTTCGATCCTGTCGTCTCGACCCACCAAAATTTTGACTCGCTCGGCTTCCCTGCAGACCATCCTGGCCGCGCACGATCCGACACCTACTACTTCAACAAGGACACTCTTCTGCGAACCCACACGAGCGCTCACCAAGCGGAAACATTCAAGGCCGACCAGAGCGACGGATACCTCATCAGCGCCGACGTCTACCGGCGAGATGCCATTGACAAGAGCCACTACCCCGTCTTCCACCAGATGGAGGGCGCCCGCATCTGGGACCGCACACAGTACCCCGAGGGCGCCGTCGCCGACGCCATCTGGGCCGATGTCGAGAAGCTGCCGAACCACAACGTCCCCGTCGAGGACCCCAATCCAGGCATTCACCCCGAGCGCAACCCCCTCCAAGAGGCGCATCACACTGCCGCCGAGGCCGAGGCCATCGCTGCGCACCTGAAGCGCTCGATCGAGCTCATGGTCATTGAGATCTTCTCGCGCGCCAAGGCCGCCGCCCGCAAGGCCGACCCCGACCACAAGGACGAGCCTCTGCGCATGCGCTGGGTCGAGGCCTACTTCCCCTTCACGAGCCCCTCGTGGGAGCTCGAGGTCTACTACGACGGCGACTGGCTCGAGGTGCTGGGCTCCGGCGTCGTCAAGCAGGACATCTTCATCGACGCCGGCAAGCCCGACAAGCTCGGCTGGGCCTTCGGCATCGGCCTCGACCGCATCGCCATGCTGCTCTTCCAGATTCCCGACATTCGCCTCTTCTGGTCCCGCGACGAGCGCTTCCTCAGCCAGTTCCGCGGCGTCTCTGACGACCTCGCCTCGCTGCGCCGCTTCGTCTCCTTCTCCAAGTACCCCGCCTGCCCGAAGGACGTGTCGTTCTGGCTGAGCGGCGTGTCGCCCGCCGGCGGCGGCCACCCCTTCCACGAGAATGACTTTATGGAGCTCGTCCGCGACGTCGCCGGCGACCGCGTCGAGGACGTGCGCGTCGTGGACGACTTTACGCATCCCAAGACGGGCCGGCGCAGCATGTGCTACCGCGTCAACTACCGCAGCCTCGAGCGGACGCTGACCAACGAGGAGACGAACGCGTTGCACAGCGAGGTGAAGAAGAGGCTGGTCGAGAAGCTGGGGGTGGAGATCCGGTAAAGCCGGAGCGGTGTACAACATGTAAACTTTGTACCATCTACAATGCAGCCCCAGTCTTTCCAACCCAAAATTTTAAGCATAACAGGCTACATCGTCTCGCGTTGGACATTCTACACCCGCCAACGTGGTGCTGTTGTAAAGAAGAACCCGAGAGCGCCTTCTGTCGTTCCGTTCCCTGGGATTCACCTGCGCGATGGAAGAGATTCGTCTACGTGTATAACCAGCTGCCGGTTTGGGAACACCTAAGAGTGATGAACTGCTGGTGTCTGACGTCAAGTTGTCGTTGATGGGCGTCTATCTGCCCTGGCTGCTCGTACAGCTCTCTGCGAAGACATCGAGTCCAAGGCAAAGGGAATCCCACGATAGCAAGCTATGTCAGGGATCTTCGTCTCATGTTCCAGCTGTGAAGTCACTGCACACAGTCTTCATCGCGAGGTTCCAACAGACTTTGCCATGCATCTCGGGCACACGGCTGAGCAGACGATCCGAGGTCGATAGTACTACCGGAGAGCTGTTCCTCCACCCATCGTACCATGATTTACAGTGTAAAAGGACGTTTTGCAAGGCTTCTCTACGACCCCTTGGAAAAAGCCACGCACTTCTGCAACACGACCAAGCACTCGAGACGCGTCACGGATGTCATTTCACGTCTGACACAGCCCGGCATCAAGGCCAGAAAACCAACGAGCATGGCAGAGAGCATCATCAACAAAGAAAAGAAGAAGAAAAGACTGGCCGTGCCGGCACGGCGCAGAGGCATAACAGGACACTCCTATACGTTTCGCCCCAACCGAGCCCGCCCGGCTGGCAACGCTCGGTCTCCTACCGAACAGCTCAGCCACCTTGGTCGCGGAATGCCCAACACTGCCCTGGGAACTAGCGATTCTCCCCGAGCACACAAACAACAGGTACGAAATGAGCACCGAGGTCACGGACGCACGACACAGAGGCCCAACGATCATGCCTCGTCCGGAGGAAAAAGCGCAACCAAATTTCGGGGTACGAGCGGTCGAGAGACGCCTCACGCCCCCTGGGGCTGTACAAGAGTGCCAGCACCGCGAAGGACAAGACACGTTCTACGGGGCCGCTGCGTCGGAGGGCGGCGCAGCAAAAGAGAGAGAAAAGGGGTCTCTAAGTAGATCGTGCGCATTGTCTGTGTTCAGCTGTTATGTGGTGAGCTGGAGCATGGAGCAGAGCGGGTCGTGCTTCCCTCCTGGAGACGGAAATCGGACGGGCCGTGTTTGGGTTTTTTCTTTCGTTTCTTCGTCTCTGGCAGGTTTCCGGTGGAATCTGGAGACGGGCGGAGCTCGAGGCAGTTCTGCCGGCGGATCTGGTGATGCGGGGAGGCTTGGCTCTGTGGAAGTCTGATGCAGGTCATGCTTCAGCATGCCTCAGCGGGGAGGGCACCTACACCTATGACGAAGGTGAGCTTTGAGACGGAGGGACAAACACGCTGGGCATGGCATGACAGACGGTGAGAGAGAGAGAGGGAGCGTGCAAGGGGCAAGGGGAGGGAGAGGCTGATCGTGGGTCCAGTTGTCCATTCTTTGGTCTGCTGCGCATGCTGCGCCGGGCGCCGGATGGAGTCGAGTCAACGAAGAGACGGACGTGATCCGTGCCAAGCCAGTCAGTAAGCACAGCCCCGTTGCGGTCGGTCGGATGAAGGTTGGTTGGCGGATATCGGTCGAGGGCCAAAAGTTGCGTCATTGTTCTGTGTTTGTGGTGCTCGTGTGGCCATTTGGTGCGTGGATATGGTGGTGATGACTGTCTTGGAAGGTCCTTGGTTGCTGGATGCAGACACATGGATGTTGATGGATTCACGATGTTGAGGTGATGTTGTGCTCAGGTACGTATCTTCCCTGCACCTGCTTGCCTGCGTCTCGCGACCTGGGAGAACAAGTATAGCGGGTCGGTACGGAACAGGAACACCATCAGACAGATCCGGGGCCCACACTACTCTACTGCTTTGAGCCAAACAGAGCCTGTACATTACATGTAGTAGGCTTCTGGGTACCTATTGAGGTGCTATCTGGTCCTACCTAAGGTACATGTACTACCTTACCTACCTAGGTACCTTAGGTAAAGTGGTTGGCGTGACTGTCCCCCACATGCTGCCAAGAGGCGAACCTGCAGCTGCAACAGCACCTGCAGCACACTGTAGCACTTGTTTCTTGTCTGCTGCTTGATTTCCTTCCACTCGAGTGGCTCGCATCCGACCAAGACGGCAGGTCGGACATGGCTGGGCGCCAGGGCCGTCTCTCACGGTCGCGGGGGCAATGGCCTGTCCGACCTTCCGCCTGACCACTTACGAGCCGATGCTTCGGTGATAGGACACAAAGAAGGAGGCTTGTGGTCAGTCAATGGGTGGTGGCGATTCGGACCGTTCTCGACGCATCGATAACTACCTAGGTACCTACCAAGGCAGCTACAGGCAGGACAGTCGGGAAGAATCTGCCTGCACTGCCTCTCTGACACCTGTCGAGACGGGAATTGCCTGCTGGAAACGGACAGTCGTAGGAGCGATGTAGACGGTCCAGACCCTTGCCAGTTTCACCCTGGCTCCCAGTGCCCGTCAGTGGGAGAGCCCGCTGAAAGCACAGCGCGCACAGAGGGGCGAAATTCGGGGCAGATTCGGGAGTGGGGGAGGGGGAGAGGCTTCTTGGGGGGCTTTGGGGGAATGAGAGTAAAGCGGGCTCCCTCTCGGTACTACCTAGGTAGGTAGGTAGCTGCCTAGGTACCTAGGTACCCATCTACCCAGCTTAGGTATCTCGGAACCAGGCCAGGTACACGGGCCAACCAGAGGGAACCCAGGCCAGGCTGAGGGGCAGAACCAAGAGGCGGAACCAAGAGGCAGAGCAGCAGAGAAGGAAATACGTACCACAGAGATATGGCATTTGACTTCTGCCGCGCCTCATTGGAAATCTCCACTCTCGTCACCTCAACATCTGCTCTGCACCACACCGTACCCGCACATGCGCCTGCATCGAACTGCACTGCCCCCCTCTCACGCCCTCCGGCTGCTGCGCTTGCTCTGACGACGCACGCTTCATCTGCTCGTACATATACCCATCGTCTGCCCTCTTCTGGCACTTTTCCTTTTGAGCAGCACACACACACAAACACACGTTGAATATACGGCCATCCAACGCACACGACTACATCTCGTCCAGAGGCCACGATCGAGCATCTCGCCACTGCCCCTCAACACCATCAACATAATCACCACGATCAGCATACCACCACCTACCACCTCTCCACAATGGCTACGCAATCTCCTCCCACGAGACCTCTGAGCTCCCGCCGCTCCACCGCCTCGGGCAAGGGTCTCTCTCTCGACCTCTCGTCTCTGCCACCCCTGACCCAGCCGACGCCTCCTTCCAACACGCTCCTCCTGACAAACCTCGATGATCTCGCCATCTTCCGCCCAGACAATCTCCAGACCATCCGCGAACTGATCGCCCAGACGGCCGCCATCCACTCGTGGGCGCCGCTCAAGTCCTTCCGCCGCATCATCGTGTCCTTCTACGACGAGGACGCCGCCATCGCCGTGCGCCAGATCTGGAACGGCGAGGCCATCCTCGGCAACGTCTGCCGCGTCTACTTTGGCACCCCGACCCCCATCGACCAGCACCTCAAGGACCAGTACCTCGCCCTGCCCGACGCCGGCAAGCTCTTCTTCATCTCGCCCCCGCCCAGCCCCCCGCACGGCTGGGAGATGAAGCTCGAGGATGCCCCCAACAAGCAGGTCCACGCCGAGGACCTCGCCGACGCCCTCGCCAAGCTGCATCACGCCAGCCGATCCGCCGCCCCCGGCGTCGAGACCCCGATCAGCCCCGTCGACGGCACGCGCCAGACGAGGAGCCGCAGCTCCACGCTGCTCTACCAGCCCAACGCCCACGAGGGCGCGAGCCCCGACCTGCCGGCCATCTGCCTCGAGGACATGACGGACGAGCCCAGCCCCATTGAGGCGCCCAAGCCCATCATGGCGCACACGTCGCGGCCGCCTGTCGAGCTGATGCACCATGCGTAGGGGGTTTCGAATGTCAAGTGGAAGAAAGATGTTGTTTCGAAGTATTGCATGGCGTTTGGGTCAAGGGAACGGTCCGGTGAGGATTGTCTTTATCATTGCATGGTACATATAAGGGTCTGGCGTATGGTTAATATGGTATATTCAAGCCAAGGGTGGCGGCTAGCCACCAGGAGTCATGTGGGTTGCGAGCCGAAAAAGCATTTGAACAAACTGTACACTAGTGGTCAAATACACCACAGCTATGGCAGCTGCTGAAACATTTCCTCGCAAGATACACGTGCATGTTACCGTGTGCCTTCACTCTTGTGCAACCGAGAATATCATCTCATCAATCCCACGAGAGCACGCACACCCCCCCTCAAGCACAGCCATCCGGCCCAGCTGCCGCAGCCGACGACGACGCCGGCGACGCTCAGCGTCCAGAGACTCCGCCGCTCGTGGCTCCCGACGCCGAGCTCGCGGCCCCTGCGCATGGCCTCGTCGAGCGTGCCCACCTCGGTGGCCATCGTGTCGAGCACGGGCACGTACTGGAACTCAAAGGCCGTCTCGGCGCCCAGGGCGCCGAGCTCGCCGCGGCGGACGGTGATGTCGTACAGCGTCCTGCGCAGCCTCTCGCGGCGTGCGGCGTCCCAGCGCGGCACCCACTTGTGCGAGTAGCTCATGGCGGCGAAGAAGAGGCACTGGCCGAGCACGAGGACGGAGAAGTAGCAGCGGCGCAGCCAGCCGCGGGGCCGCTCGACGCGCAGCGCCTCGGCGAGCCGCGGCCCGTTGAGCCAGTATGTTTCGGCCGCGAGGAAGGGCCGCGACACGTGGCCCGGCGGCTGGTCGGCCATGCCGGTGAGGACGTTGTTGGCGAGCGTCGCCGACGTGGCCGAGGGGTGCAGCTCCGAGAGCAGGAGCGATTCCATGGTGGCGCGGGCAGCGGCGGGCGTGGCGAAAGGATCCGTCGGCGCGCCGATGACGTGGCCGACCCAGCGCCAGAGGGCGATGTAGTCGGCCTTTTCGCGCGCCGATAGGAAGATGCCCTGGCGCGGCAGGCCGATCCAGAGGAGCGTCGCCGAAAAGGTGGCGATGGTGCCGGCCGAGTCGAGGTCATTGATCGGTATCCCGTTGGCCTCGACAGAGTAGTACTCGGGCTTCTGAGCCGCGAGCGCCAGGATGCGCCGGCGCACGGCGGCATGCAGGAGCCGTACGCGGATTGTCGAGGCGAAGCCGTCGCCGTGCGGCTGTATGGCTGGCAGCGAAGAAGTCACCTGCAGGACGTGCTGGAATGTCTCGAGGAGACGACGCCGGGTGACGTTGACGCCGAAGCCGCCTGTGCGTGCGAGCGTCTCAACGACGCGGCGGGAGCCCATGCCGCCGACGAGAGATTGGAAAGCGAGCTGCTAGATGATCAACGGAGGCTTTCTTCAAAGGTAGGCTAACACTCAGTGTGAGGCATACGGCGAATATGGCGGGCCCGGCGTAGCGGAGAAAGACGTGCTGCCCGCGTTCAATCTGGGCCCAGTCGACCCATTCGGGGACTGATGTTACTTCTTTCCAGAGCTGGCCGAGTGCCTCATCTGTGTCGGCATTGTCGCGGACGAGAGCATAGAGGTCGCGCGGCGCCTTCTTCTCAGCATCTGGGGTGGGCTTTTCGCCCTTTTCGCCCGTCTTGTCAGGCGGTGAGATCTCGTCGAGCCGGTTCAGGGCTGCCTCGCCCAACTTGTCGTAGGTATAGATCATGGGCCGCATCTCTTCGGCGGTGCGGTGGTCGGCAGTCCACTCGAACTGATAGTCCCAGATCTCTCGCCACTCGGGGCCGGACTCGCGGAAGAGCCATGCCAGGCAGTTTGGCACGGCCTGCACATAGTCAGGCATGGCTTTCGGGAGGGGGGTCCCTTAGACACAGAAGTGATTTCTGTGATGGCAAATGCGTTGAAGGCTGTAAAGATTCAAGTTGCGAAGGCTGGCATCGATGGCTTGGTCGAGTGCTTCTCGTTGCCAGGATGGTAGGATCCCGGGTGGGCCGTACTTGCCTACGGTATTCCAGGTGCTAGTGGGGCCGACTTGGTGACTTCATCGATTTTGACGACGATGGCGATGCAATACCTCGAGTGCGTGGGTACCTGGAATGTCGCCCAAGAACATCGAGGAAGAAGGGACTAGACGCCTCGCCATGATCGGGTCCTTGGTGTCACGGCGTAAAGAGTCGCAACCCGCGGTCGGCGACTGGTGGTGCATGCTGCATGTAGAGAGCGGAGGTTGGCCACCTGCTCCAACATGCCTACCCACCCACCCACTCATGGCCACATCCTTGACGCACTTGACGCACTTGACGCACCACCTCTTTGAACGGTGGATTGGAGCTGTCGAAGTACACTAGTGGCCGATCTCCAAACTGGGAGGGTCACCCGGACCCTAGATCGTGTTCTGGGTCGAACATGTTCAAGCCATAGGAGCACGGAGCTGCCTCGGTTTAATCAAGACGGAGATCTTACAAAGGTCGTTTTTCTCACCAATCTTCCATCATACATGTCTCGTCTTGGAAGACGAAAGCACCGCCATTTTCTCAGATCATCTTGTCAGATTACGAACGCTAATCTCTCGCCTAGATAGAATCCTAGCCTCCATGCCACCTAAAAGGGAACCCGATTGCTTAGTAGATGCTTCACTCATTTTGGTTAAGCTGGTTGTATATTCCATGCTTCAGTATGCAGCACGCCTTTTCATCAGCAAATACCCTTGGGGTGGAACGGCTGTGACGTTATATGCATCCACCACCTTGTAGCGCCCACCATGTAGTTCAAAATCTGCTTGCCTCACCAAGGCAAGAATCCAGGCCTTAATCTCTGTAGCGAATTCCGCATCATGAAGTCAGCAAAATTCAAAGTCGTTAGATAACGTCAGAGCATGACCAAGACAGGGGATCGATGTAGAACTTCTCACCCATAACAGCTAGAAACCGTCCAGGACATGACCATCGACCGAGACCAAAAGCTAAATAATCTTGCCCCGCCGTGGTGGCTGACTTTCCAGTTCCGATCCAGCGCTCTGCGTCGAACTTATCCGGATCCGCTATCAGGTCTGGGGATCGGTTGGATAGGTATGTCACTGGGAATACGGGGGTTCCTATCTCACGTTAGTCCGCCTGTGAACTCGCGACCACGGATGCCAGGATAGACAGGAACCTTTGGGGATTCTATGTCCAGCCAGTTCAACATCTCGAACGGCCACCCTTACTGCATTGACAGCATCCCCCTTCAATCGTAGAACCTCTCTGACGAAAGAATCTGCCAGGTTTGCATTTTGAAAGACCTTGTATTCGGACCCGGAACCGGACATGCCGCTCTTGACGAGAGACTCAGCCTCATCGCGGAGCGACTTCTGGCAGTCAGGGTGTAGCGCTAAGAAATACGTGACCCAGACGATGATCACGGCGCTTCACGCATGTAAGTGTTAGCCGAGAACAATAACTCACGATTTCGAAGAACCTTACGTCTGATGGACGCTACCGAATATAACGGTCAAAATTAATATCATTATCCATAGTTTTGAGAGGAATGACACACTCCCACTCGTAGACGCATATCGGCCAACAAGATGGGAGAAGATAGTTTCGTCCTAGTTCAAACAGTCAACCCGGGAACCATGAAATAATGGAAACCAGCGACAAACCTCAGGGTCGCGATGCTTTTCTCTGGACGAAATGTCCGCCCACAGCCTCCTTGCAAACACTGGTCCAATATCCAGCGGAAGTCGGATAAGTACGATCTTAGTCCTGCTTGAAAATTTAACCATGGCCATATATCAAGGTTACTATTGTGCCTACAATGTCAACGTACGCCACAGTCGAGGGAACTTGCGCGCCATGTGTGACTCATGACGACGGAGTCCCATGAGCTCCGCAACATCCCGGCTGATATTGAGGATCCGGTTCACGTCTTCATTATTCTGGTATGTCTGATAGATTTGTTTTTAGAACGATTACTGATGATGTCCAACTTTGAGCTCATGAAAGTGTAGACTTACTGGTCCTAGAAGGATACAGATTGTCGCTTGCGCCATAATCCTCTTCACATGCGGCAAGATATCAATGGGCTTTTCCTCCTGTGCCGTATTCAGAAGCTCTGAGACGCCCAGCTCGAAAACAGGCCATGCTGGTTTGGTGATGAGTTTGATTTATTCCACTCAGCCGGACCTGGTTGACATACTTTTTCTTGCAATTGTACGCAACTTCTTCGTTGAAAGCTCTCTCACGACACTATCAACGTCGCGGAAAAAGGTACCTCCATGGATGTGGCGCATCCAATGAATGCCGAGAATCTTTACAAGCGTTAGAAACCACCCTTTTGTAAAAAAAGATGAGGGCATCTTACTTCTTCCATTCCGCGCTCAAAACTGAACGACGATTCTTCTGTAAGAACCTTCCGTGCATACTCTTGAGAGACGATATACTCTATCTGCGGGAGTACTCAGTTTTGGAGAAAGACTGTTTCATGAATAGCCGCCACAACATTACCATCCCGCCTGAAGGAAACGATTGGGCCATGTTCTCGTAGCGCCCTGGTCATCGACTCGGCGGTTGCATGATATATGTCATGATCCTACCAGAGAGTAAGCATGTTCATCCGTGTAATGATCGTTGTATCTGCATCGACCCACTGTCAGAGGAATAAAAGGGGGTAGCGGAAGCCTAGACACCTGATTAAGCCTTAGTAAAAAGGTGCTTGTGAGGGACCAGCCCTTTATGGAACAACAGCCAAACCTTAGAGTTAAAAGTTCTTCGATGTATTATCCAACCAACCGCCAGGCAAGTGCATGCCAACATGGCACTTTTCATGTCGAATGGGGACATGATCATGGGAACTTGAAGGTCCCAACGCAACAGAACAATTTGAGCCACAAAGCGCCGAGGGGTGAAAAGGACATAGATTGCCCGCGATGAATGGGATTAAGTGATACATACCGCTATGCTTGGGATGCATGAACTCAAATAAATGATTCTCATCCGACTGGGGGAGGGTGGTTCTAGGTCAGTCATACATTATGTCTTGCCCAACTCAGTTTGATTCTGTATGTTTCACCGAGAGATGTTCGGGGTCTTATTCACTAAAAGAAACTCCAAGACTATGAACCGCACATGCCACAACCACTTGGGTGTATGAACTTATGAATATCTAGGTACGTTCCTGAGGAGCCACATATTGTGTCTTGTCCAACCAATTTTAATTTCTTCACGTTCCACCAAAAGATATCCGGTCTTGATTTACTTATACAAGCCTCGAATAGATACAAACAAGCTTGAATTCGATACGATAGACACTACACAAGCCATTATCGCCACACTATTCTTGCCTCAATTTCTCCAGATCAAATACGGAGTTGACTTGTCCTATGAATATAGACCAGGAGGCACCGCAATATGGCGGGTATGGGCAGCACAACACTTGACCTACGTGATGAAGGAGATTGATTGCTGAATTCGATAATTGTGGACTAAGCATATTTCTACTGGACAGCCAAGTTGGCTTCATCTGATGGATTTGAATGGAATATAAATACAAATAAATTGACACAAGGTACCTAAGGAATGCGACCGACCTAAGAGTTCTGCCCTCACCACCACCCACTCAAAAACCCTAGCTTCATAATTAATGGCATATAACTGCTTTTAGCCTGCATAATTCATTCTCTTTTGTAAAGACATTTTCAGAAAGTTCGTTATTTTCTGTTCAATCCAGATTTCTGTTGAAAGAACGTCTTAGGGTTCACATAGGTCCCCCCAACCTTGTCCCATAATGACATGTACTGTCCAAAATTCAGCTTTATATTCTTGTGATGTACCGTGTGGAAATGAGCTCGGTCATCGTCTATGTATTGAAATGTTAGCATTGGTCATGGCTGCTTTGTTGATCACATACTGCCGAAGGGGGAAATTTGGCAACATACGCAATAAGAACGTCCAAACATTGGCCGTGCAAAAAACAATCACCTGAGCAACATCCGACATTGGCCAGATAAAGCTGTAGGCGTAGGTGGCCAAGCTCATGACCCATGCTTCCAGAGGGTGAAACGCATATGCTGAAAACGGCGTGGGGATCACATAACTGTATGGCGTTCATGTCAGCCAGTTCGCCAGTCGAGGGGGGGAAAGCCTCACCGATGATGCTTGCTGTGTAGTGCCCTAAATAGCAGAGGAGTATGAAACATACGATGCATCCAGTACATCCAAGTATCACTGAAGAGTAAGAAGAGGGGATATTGAGCCACCTCATACCACCAACTCGCGGAACCGAGCGGATATATCTTTGAGTAGCCTCGGATCTGACCCGTGAAAATTGGAGCCGTTAACATGCTTCCCCAAAACAGAGTGCACAGCGAGTCCGCAATTTCATCTCGAATCTGGCTGCTACGAAATCTTGTTTGGTCTTTGGATGGCCGATCAAAGTGCCGATAGTAACATAGCACGCCGAACAAAAGATAGAACGACGTGGTCAAGGTCCTAAACAATCAACGTCAGATTAAAGGAATTTGTTCTTGCAGACAAAGGTACATGCCAGGTCAGAAGAAAAGTGGTGATGAGTTGCCGGGGTAAACTATGTCGGCCCCAGAGACGCGGTTCCATTGCAAACTCGCAGATGTGTTGGTCCACGGATAGTTTTCGTTGATTCGAGAGCACCGGGCAGGCGTAGATTTCCATTGCCCGATGAACCAATTCATAAATCGCATCGAGGACAATAACGTCCAAATACTCAACTAGAGCTTCCATGATGTTGATCTCTGGGGTAGAGTGAAAGTCCTAAGGCAGCCGGGGGCAAAATAGTATTAAAGAGGTAGGCCCAGATCATCACCTCGACCAGGGACATGTGATCATGGCC